AAAAAAAAAAAAAAAACTTTTGTATTTAAGAAACCTAAAAAAAAACCCCCTACAAAATATATATTTTATAATATAAATATATTCTGTTAAATTGGTGTGTGATCCCCCATATATAATTATTAAAAAAAAATTAAAAAAAAAAAAAAAAAAAAAAGAAAAAAAACATGAGAATGAATTAATATGAAACTTACAAACAAAAAAAACTAAAAATCTAAACTATCTAAAACCCCAAGTATGAATACAGTAATACTACTATTTAAATATTTTGAAATTTAAACTAAATATAATGGTTTATTTTTTATTTTTTTGTTGTTTTTAATTTTATTTTATATATTTTAGTTGATACCAATTATCTGTTTTATTTTTGTTATTTGTTTTAAAACTGCTACTTATTTATATAACTTGTTACTTTTTTATATTTAATATAAAAATGAAATTTTAAAAAATAAAAGAAAAAAAAATATTATAAAAAAAAATAATAAAAAATAATAAAATTTCTTTCAAGTGTGTTGTGTGTTGTGTGTGTGTGGTTTATTTTTTTTTATAATTTTTTTTTTTTTTAAAATAATAAATAAACATTAGAAAATAATAAAAACAACAAACTCGAATAATATTGTATATTTAAATGTTTTTTTTTTAAAAGAAAAAAATTACATATTTTTTAAAAATAAAAAAAACTAAATGGGATTTCAATATTGTATTTAAACTTTAACTTCATCTTTAAAAATTTTTAAAATATAATTTTAACTAAATAAGGAATTGTGAAATGGAAAATGATCAAATAATTTTCCAAATAATAAAAAAAAAAAAAAAAAAAAAAAAAGAAAATATTTTATTTTTTTTAATTTTTTTTCTTTTTTTTTTTTTTTTTTTTTTTAAAATTTTAAAATTTTTTTTTCAATTTTTTCAATTTTTTTTAAAATTTTTATAATCATTCACATATAATTTATAATATATACAATGAGACAACAACCATTATCACGTTTCCTCGCTCAACAAGGTAGAATCTACTGGCCATTTTTAGTTGGTGCCGGTGTTTGGTTCCCCATCATCCCTAAAGTCCAATGGGGTATTACGGGGATGTCGATTTTTATTAATATACTCTGCGAAAAAAAAATAAATCAAAATAAAACAAATTTACTAACGAATTTCTTACCATTTTTTAAACAGACTCCAACAAAGAGCAATCATGTATGTTTTAGATTATATAGATTCAAGATCATTTTTTATACCAATATTTAATAGAACGAATTAAGATAACAAGATTTTAATATGCAGAAGAAATTATTTATGATGATGATGATAATGATGATAATAACGATAAAAATAATATATTTTGGATATTTTACTTATATTTGTTTTTTTTTTTTTAAAATTAATAATAGACTATTGGAAAAAAGTTCAAGCCCTCAATAACCCAGATGCCCACAAAAGCCACGGTCATGGTCACCATTAATTTAATATAAATAATAAATAATATATATAATTTAAAAAATATATAGTGTTAATAGTAAAAAAACATTTAAAAAGAAACATTAAAAAAAAAACAATATTCATCTTTAAATGGTGTAATATTTATTTAATAAAAAAAAATAATTAATATACAAAAAAAACAAAAACTTTTTCTCCTTATGTTTAATTTTAAATATTTATTAAAAGTTTATTTTATAGTTTTTAGTTTAATTGGAAAAAAAAAAAGATATAATCTATATCGTTAGTTTTTTTGTTTTTGTTTTTTTTTTATACAAAATTATTATTTAATCATAATTTATTGTTTATTATTCTTGATATATATATATTTTATTATTTGGTAATTTACAAAGCTCCAGCCAAAACTATAACTATTATTAAAACTAAAATTAAAAAACAAATTACACCCCAATAGCCTGTAGTTTTTGCCTCTTGTGTTAAATGTATTAAACTTTTGGTTGTATTTCTTAATCTAGCCGATGTACTATCAACTTGAACATCCAATTCATCTAAAATTTCACAGTGTTCTTGTGCTGTTTTATCGATTGTAATCGCTATTTCTTTAACTCTGCCAACGCTACCTGACAAAGCATCCAACATTTTATCCTGGTCATCCATTTGTTTTCTTTGTTGTTCTAAAATATCTTGGTTTGATAATACATCTCTTTCTGCATTAAAATTGTTATTAAATCTCCTATCTTTACCATCAAACAACGCATTTCTTTTTTATGTATATAAAAATTTTAAATTTATTAATAACTATATATATAATTTTTAATAAATTAGCCATTCCTATAATTTATTTACCTTGCGTTATCCGATAAGTATCCTTGGCTTGGATTTACCCTATTATGATTTTCATTTCTCATTTTATATATATATATACTGTATTATTTAGCTGGTTGTTATTTATATTTGTTTTATTAAAAAATTTTAATTTTTTTAATAAATCTTTTTTATATGTGTTAAAAATTTATATTTTATTATTATTAGTACTATACTATTATTATTATTATTATATTATATTATATTATTATTTTTATTATTATTATTTATTGTTTATTTTTATTATTTAAAACTTAAACGATTTTAATTAAACCACACACTAATAAAATTTCATAAAATTTAAAAAAAAAAAAAATTAAAAAAAATTAAAAAAAATAAAAAATAAAAAAACAAAAAAAAAAAAAAAGAAAAGTGGATGTATTTCTCTCTTTTTTTTAAATAAAGGAAATAATTGTGATAAATAGTTTCAAAGATTTACAAAAAAAAAAAAAAAAAAAGAAAAGAAAATGGATTTCTAAAACAATTATTTTTTTATTTTTTTTTTTTTT